GAACCGAGGATTGAACTCAGGCCGTTGTGCTTGCCAGGCAAGCGCTTATTCTACTGAGCCATCTCCCTGGCCTCCTTATTTAATTTTTTGTTCAAGATAGGGTCTTGCTAAGTCACTAAATCACCCAGACTAGAAGTTGGGATCCTCCTGCCTCAGCCTCGCAGGATGGTAGGAGTACAGGTGTGTAACACTACTTTGACCTCCTGGGTCCGCTATGGCTCTACCCAGGCAGATCCGGGGGGCAGGCCAGTGCTGGCCCGTGGCTTCCCTTAGGCCCGGGAGGGAGAGCACTGCTGTTCAGGACAGTCTGTTATGCAGCTGGTGGGGTTGGCTAGACTGGACACTGAGTCTCTAGGGACTGAAGAGATTCTCCTAGGGGCAGGGGCCGGGGCCGGGGCCGGGGCCGGGGCAGGGACCAGGGCAGGGGCAGGGGCAGGGGCAGGGGCCAGGGCCGGGGCAGGGGCAGGGGCTCAGGCAGGGACAGGGGCAGGGGCCAGGGCCGGGGCTGGGGCTGGGGCAGCACATCGCAGACACTGAGTGGACCAGAGATTCAAAAGCAGAGCCAGAGACTGGGCGTGGTGGTGCTCGCCTGTAATCCCAGCTCTTGGGAGGCTGTAAAAAGGAGAATCACTACGAGTCCGATCTAGTAGTGAGACCCTGAATACCCTGCAGACCCTTCCCTAAAAATACAGAAAACAAAACACAACAAAACAAAAAAACAAAAGTGGACCCAGACCAGATACCCAGGACAGTGTCCTCAGGGAGCCCGGGCCCTGGAAGATATCACTCCATTTTTCGCAGAGCCTCTTCCAGGAGCCAGGCTTTGGGTTGGGCAAGAGGAAGAAAAAAGTCATCCAAGTTGTTTTTATTTTTTGGCTCAAATACAGGGGTGCTTTTTGGATTTTAGTTGTTACCAACATGTTAAAATGTGCACATTTCATATAAAAGTCCAGACTTCCGGCTTTTGAAAAGTCAGATTTCGAAGTGTGCAGGTTTGCATTCCCGTTGGCAGCAGGGTCTGAGGAGGAGCTGCCTATTTCACCTGGGACACAGTCTCCCTTCTCTGCGGTCCCCTCTTGGTTCCATACACTCCCCTTGTCCTGCCCCCAGGGCCTTCGGGTTTGAGAGCCTGTTTTGGACTTGTTTGCAGGCTTGGATAATTTGGCCATCTTTGAAGAAAGGATGTTATTGTTTCACCAAAGTTTTAAATGTCTCTGAGTCCCAATTACTTAGTGTTTTTTGTTTGCTTGTTCATTTGTTTTAAGAATGTCCCCAGCACCGGGGAGGCTGAAGCAAGATCACTTTGAGTTCAAGACCAGCCTGGGCTCCAGAGTGAGTTCAAGGCCAGCCTGAACTACATAGTGAAACCCTGTCTCAAAAAGAGAATAAATAGTAAAGAAAGTGTAAATTAAAAAGGTCTACCTGACAATTTGCGATGAAATGTCACCACTCATCAAGCATTAAGTTCTCAGAGCCCCCCCGGGGCGGGGCGGGGGGGGGAGCATTGCCCTGTGCTGTCAGTGCTGCTAGTCCCTGAAGGCTGTTGGGGTTAACAGCATTCTTGGGGCTGGGGAGATAGCACGGAGGATACGCGCCTGCCTGGCAAGTTGCAAGGTCCTGAGGTTGATCCCTGGTGCTGTGCCGGCCCCAGAACCCTGGGCACACCATGCTAGCCCCGAAATCAGGAATGGTGGTACACGCCTGTAATCCCAGCACTGGGGAAGCTGAAACAGGAGGATCATTGAACTGTGCAGTGAGACCCTGTATTGAGACCCTGTATCAAATTAAAAAAAAAAAAAAAAGCACTGTATGGAAGCTGGATGTGTAGCACACACCTAGAATCCCAGCCCTCGGGAAGGTGAGGCAGAGGACACCGAGTCGCAGTCCCGCCTGTGCTACACAGTGAGACTCTTCAAAAAACCTCAGAGTATTCTGTGTCGCTGCGGCACCAGCCGCATGGCAAGGGCTCAGCAGCCCTGTGAGGCACGCCTGGTCGTAGCTAAGAGGCCGAGAAGCGACACTGCGTGAAGCTCAGGACAAGCACAGTTTTCTCTCTCACGGCAGAAAGTTCTGTCTGACAGGCTACGCTGGAAAAATCGTCTTATCGTGAAGCTGAGGTTCATGTAGGTCAGGCACTAGGTAGCGTTTGGTCCTCCATGCAACCAAGCAGAAGAATTTTTGGTTTAGTTTCATTAATGAAAAAATGCCCCCCACTGCCCTTTTGAGACAATGAAGAGAAAGAAGTTTAAAACAAGATAAGGGCCCGGGAGATACAGTTCAGTAGAATAAGCGCTTGCCTGGCAAGCACAGGGTCCTGAGTTCAATCCCCGGTACTGAAAAAAAAAAAAAAAAAAAAAAAAAACAAGATAAACCTCACCACCTTACCTAACCCCAAAATAATCACTATCTTTTTTATTTAATCTCTTCTTAGTAAATAGTTAGGTGGGTTTTTTTGTTGTTGTTGCTTTTTCTCTTGGTGGAACTGGGGATTGAATTCAGGGCCTTGTCCTTGCCAGGCAAGCGCTTATTCTACTGAGCTATCTCCCCAGCCCCTTATAGTTAGGTTTTAATATATTTTTAAAACACAATTCTGGGGCCCGGGAGATGGCTCAGTAGAATAAGCACCTGCCTGGCAAGCACAAGGGCCTGAGTTCAATTCCTGGTTCCTCCCCCTTCCCCCTCCCAAAAAAAAACAACCCAAAAGCACAGTTCTTTTGATGTAGGGTCAAGTTGTATTTCTGACTTCCCTAACCTTCCTCTGCTGGTTTTTGGACTGTAAATCAGAGGGTTTTACTCAGGACGAGGTGGGGAATCCCACTTGGCAAGAGATGGTGGGGAATTATCCGGGGTGTAGGACTTGTGGGAAACTCACTTCTCTGAAATGACCCCAGTTTTCTGCCTTTCCTTTTCAACATTGCACAAGTGAGGTCGGTCAGTAGCCAAGGCCAGGCTGGGCTCTTTGCAGGCTGAGGTAGGGGAGCCCTCTGGTGGTTGAGAGAGAACCGGCCTTGTGGGGTGGGGGCTCATCTAGCCGGGCACCGCCTTCCCTTTTCTGATGCGGGCACCAAAGCCCAGAGGAAAGGCACTTGCCAAAGTCCCCCCACTGTGCCCCCAGCGAAGTGGGCCAGGCTCAGGGATCAGCCTCGCCCTCCCCTTTTTAGTAGTGGGACCATAAATAAGCAGTAGCACCCTTGGAACTCCAATTTCTCTCTCTCGGAAAAAAAAAAAAAAAAAAAAAAAAATGGATCTCCGGTAGTGGTAGGCTTGTGGGAATAAAATAACCTACATATGGGCTGGAGAGATGGCTCAGTGGTCTAAAGCACCTACTTGAAACAAGCTTGGCAAAGCACAGGGACCGCGGTTCGATCCCCCCAGCACCACATGCCAGCCAGCCCCACCCCCTGGTGAGCTGAGCTGGACACACACACACACACACACACACACACACACTAAATAAATGTAATAAAAATAAAATAATTTTTAAAAAAAGTAACCTACATAAATTGCTTAGCACAGAACACGCACCGTAGCCCACGCTGGCTCCTTCTCCAGTGACAGCGGAGATAGTTGCTGTGCACGGTAAGGGCTCGTGCTTGAACGGCCGCTTCAGTCAGCTGCTCCCCACCACAGCGTGACCCTCTGCTGGAGGAGCTGCTGTGACCCCTTTTGGCCGTCGAGAGGCTAGGGGTCCCAAGAGCAACGTGCAGCCTTCCCATCCCTGCCAGCTCTGCTCAGATGGCTCTCGCAGGGGTAGCCTCTGCCAACCAATAACAAGGAGGGTGGGCAGCAGTGATTTAGGGTTGGTGAGTAAGAAAATCAGTTCGCTCACCTAAGCTCTAAATCCGGTGTCCTTTTTCCATCCTAGTCCTAGACTGCAGCCCTCACTGATGTCCATGCCAGGCCTCAGGGCTGGGCACCCACTCCCCATCAGCACAGGGCAGGCCAGTAATCCCGGAAAGCCCCGGTGTGCTGTCCCGCTCTCACGTGCCCCGTCTGGGCTGGACCCTGTGCCTTCTGTCTGCCACACCCACCTGCCCCTTTCCCTGCCCATGGCTGGACCCAACCCTGTGTCCCCAGGCAAGTCAAGGGCCGGACTCCAAACCAAGCCCTGGACAAGCAACAGGCGGCTCAGTGACTGTGGCCCGAGGCAGCACAGGAGCTGGTTGGCTGCTTCCTGCAGATGCCCTCCAGAAAGGCATGGTTGCCTGCTTGAGACAAGTTCTGGCTGTGTTGCCCAGGCTGGCCTTGCTCTCCTATGTTCAAGTGAGCCTTCTGCCTCAGCCCTTGAGTAGCTGGCACACAACCCCACTGCAGGAAGGAGCACTGGGCTGAGACCCATGGGTCTAGCAGGGCAGTGAGCGGGACAGAGTGGATCTTGGCTTGGGGGCAGGGTGTACTCTGTGCTACCAAAGTCTGGCCTGCTGCCCTAACCCAGCAGTGACTCAGCCTAGTGGAAGAGTGCCCTGACCCATGCTTCTGGACTTGCTTTGGCAGGTGCAGCTGGTCCAGGATCCAGCAACTGGAGAGACATTCGTGGTGAAGGCAGGTGACACCCACCCCCTGCTGTGCTGCATCCCCCCCCCCCTTCCCAGAATGTGCGTCTGGAACCCGTGTGGCCTCCAACCCCAAAGCTGCTTATTTTCTAAGGCCCTGCCTTCAGGACAGACAGACACACACACACCCAAACTCTTTCTTGTCGGGGAGAGTGGACGACCCGGATTCCACAGAGGAATGAGGGTCAGGGACGGGTCAGGCATTGGTGGGAACTGGTGCTCCCCACGGTGCCTCCCACCTCTCAGCCGGGTGCACCTAAAGCCAGGGCCACATAGTCCCCTTGCAGCAGCAGCCTCTGGTCTGGCCGCAGCTGATGTACCTGGCCTTCCTCCTCCCAGAGTCTGCCCAGGTGCCTTGTGGCGAGCCGGGAGCGGCTGACCGTCATCCCTCACGGGGTCCCCTTCATGACCAAGCTGCTGCGGTACTTTGTGAGTGAGGACTCCATCTTCCTGCATCTGGAGTATGTACCAGGTGAGGGCACCTGTGATCGTCAGCGACTCTGGCCTCGGTGCTGTCCTCACAACCCCTTCCAAGTGCTGAGTCCTGAGGTGGTGGCTGGGACCAGATGGGCAGCACAGACTGGGGACCCTGGCTTATGGACGCCGGCGGCAGGATCAGGCCAGCATGGCATCTGTGTGGTCCCAAGGGGGCAGGCAAGCTGTCTACACATGTATGGGCAAGGGTTACCTAGCTGCCCCCGTGGCCGCCTTTCTCTCTCGGCTCTTCATTTTCCTGGTTGTGTTCATCTTCAAAGTGAACACAGCGAAGAGGTAGCCACTGAGGCTGTCAGGACAAGAAATGGCCCTGGAGCAGAGAGTGATGATCACAGCAATCTTTTTTAAAATGCGGCATCTTTGGGTTATGAATACAGTCATCGTAGGATCCTGGCCTGCCCTTTAAGGTGTTGCCAGGCTCCCTGAAGAGATTTAAAAATGCACACTTTGAATACTGGTGAACCCTCCCGCAAGACAAGGTCATTAACTATAAAGACTTCGTGTGTCCCTTCAGCACCTGCAGGGTGCAGCTGTGAGGGGAAGGAAGGGGGTGTTTCAGCCTGAAGGGTGAGAGGCAGCCAAGGCGAGGAAGCTGAGGAAGGCAGGACCCCCAGAAGGTGGAGAGGCCACCCTGAGATGGAAGGAGGCCAGAGTGGGGCTGGACCCGGGGTCCACAGCTTCTCCTTTCCCATGCTTGCTCCTCTGCCTGGCCCAGGAGGCACCCTCTGGTCACACCTGCCCTCCCAGGCGCAGCCCCAGCATCCTGGCCTCCGGTCTGGCTCCACACAGAAGACAGGGGCCCAGCTTAACACCCGCCTCAGCCTCCTGATCCCAGGACAGCTCTCCCAGGGCGACTCCATCACGCAGGACAGAGTCCCCCTGGTGCATCCTTGGACCTCTCAGTGCCTTCCACCAGCTGGGGAGGCCCTGTCCTTCAGGTCCCAGAGTGATCCTGAAAGTGAATCTATAGCCAGGACCAGCACCTCCTGCTCCTCGGACCTCACAAAAGCCCCAAGTGGCCCCTTGCGCCTGCAAGCCAGGCGGGCTTGCCAGAGCACAGACCCTGGGCCCCCCTGGGCGCTGCCCTGGGTTCGCGAGGGGGCCAGCCGGGTGCTGAGGGGCTGTGGCCAAGGTGGAGTCCGCAACCCTACGGCAGCAGACAGGCCCAGCCTGGCGTGCGGCTGGGCTGTCTGGAGTGTGAGGGAGGAGAAGGTGAAGCAGTGGGCAGCGGAGATGCTGGTGGCACTGGAGGCGCTGCATGAGCAGGGGGTGCTATGCCGGGATCTCAGCCCCCGGAACCTGCTCCTGGACCAGGCAGGTAGGCCCCTGACCACATGCCCCTGCCTGACAAGCCCTGAGGCAAGGGGACCCCCTGAGGTTACACACCGCTTCTCCCCCTCCCAAACCTTTTACACCACCCTGCCCATGTCTGGCGTTTGTCCCAGGAGTACCCATGACCTTTGGGTCCCCAGGGCCATGCCCTCAGGGAGACTCGGCCTACACAGCTCCTGGCTGCTGCCTGTCATTCCCAGGGGAAGCCCTGCCCTGCTTCCCCCACACCAGCTGCTCAGTGATGCTCTCGCCTTTGCCCCCTCATCTTCCCGTTCATGCTGGATGAGAAGGTCACCTCCGACTCACGTATTTTGGCCAGTGGTCAGAAGTGGAGCCCCAGTGCTGCAGGGAGGCTGTGGACCGCCTCTACAGTGCGCCAGGCAAGAGGGGGTCCCCAGACCTTGGGCACCTTTGTGTGGGTTGAGCCTGGGGGCTGAGCTTGATGGTGGTGTCCCAGGAGAATGCGGAGGCCCTGGAGTGAGGAGGGGCATGCTGTGTTCCTGCAGAGGTGGGTGGCATCACTGAGCTGACGGAAGCCTGTGACTGGTGGAGCTTCGGTGCAATACTGTACGAGCTGCTGACGGGAACGGTAAGAGGCCAGCAGATGCTGCTGGATAGGGGCAGCGGGCAAGTCCACGTGGTATCAGCTTCCTGGCTCTCTGGGACCTGGTCCTGGGGTGGGCATCCTGCTAGCTCACAAGCCGCAAGTCACCAGGCCACAGGCTTACCCAGCACCCTGCCACACTGCAGGCCATTGCTGATGACACGGTGAGAGCTGAGGTGGTGAGGAGAGGTAGCACCCACACCTGGGTTTAGACAGGGTAGGAATTAACACAGCCCTCTTTCCACGGAAGTCCCCAGGTCACCCCTAAACTTTGCTCCCTCACTCACTTCTCCCACCCATGCCCTCTGGGGCGAAAGCCCCCAGGTCTTAGCTGGAGAACAGGAGAGCTGCCCTGTGCAGAGCACAGCTCCGCCTGTACAGCTTCTGCTCAGGGGACAGGTTGGACCTGTGTCCTTTGCAGGAGCTCAGCGATGCATCGGAGTCCAGTCGGGCTGGGAAGCAAGGGTCAGGCCAAACCGCATTCGAGCAGGAAACAGGATGTGGGAGGTGTGACTGTCACAGGCTTGTCTCCTCTGTCACACTCCCAGGGCCCGCATGGCTTTCCTGGTCTCCCACCACCTCTGCTCTGCAGACCTTCTGGCCTCCCTGCAGCTGCACAGACCTCTGCTCTCGCAGGCTGCACTTCTGGGTGCGGAGTGCTCTCCTTTTCTGTTGCTAGATTCCAAGGGCACGAGAGCGGCAGGCCTAGCTTGCTGTTGGATGAGCAGCAGTCCATGGAGGCTTTGCTGGAAAGAGGCAAATTTCAGTGTTCCCTGTGCCGCCCTCATGGTGGTGCAAGCTCCATGCTTTTTATGAGCTTGCAGCCAGAGCCTCCGACCTTGGCTCAAACTATGAACTCAGCACAAGCCCCTTAATGCGTGTGTGAGGGACCTGTCTAGCAAGTCTGCCATGCAGACGATCCTGAGCAGAAGGAAGCCACCTGTGGAATGTGACCCAGGAACAGGGAACACCCCTGGCCACACCTGGAGAGTGGCTCTTCCTGGGGCTGCCTCCTCAGAGGCCCTGCTGTGTCCTCACAGGCACTGGCTCAGAGCCACCCCTCGGGGTTCCAGGCCCACACCCATCTCCAGCTGCCGGAGTGGCTCAGTCACCCAGCGGCCTCCCTGCTGACTGAGGTGAGCTTCAGTCTGGTCTAGGGGCAACTTTTTGGCCTGTGGGCAGGGGTGGGGGCACGGAATGCCACAACCATGTGTGAGCAATGGGCACTAAGCGGTGCTGAAGGGTAGTAGGGTTTCTGGAAGTTGGAGCCAAGCCATCACCAGTGTCCCCCCTATAAGTGATTTGTGGGCTGGGTTGGTGGGAGTGAGCACCCCCAAGGGCACTGTGTGGAGACCCCGGAAATGAGCCTGGGCTTCTTCCTGCCGGGAGCTGACCCACCTCTGCCTTTCCCTGCAGCTGCTGCGGTTTGACCCTGTGAGGCGTCTGGGCGCCCGAGGAGGTGGCATCAGCAAACTCAAGTCCCACCCCTTTTTCAGTGCTGTCCAGTGGAGCAGACTGGTGGGGTAAGAGGAGCATGGTGGGCGATGGAAAGCCACTGCCCATCACCCAGGCGGGGACGCAAGGCTCTCCTGCTCAGCTCCCTGTCCAGGCTGCAGCAGCAGCAGCAGCAGCAGCAGCGATCGCCACTGCTTCCAAATGGCTATCCAGGGAGGGCAGCGAGGCTCCCCAGGCTGTCCCTGTCAGCAGACCTCCATTGAGTGTGTGTACCTAGCACCTCCAACGCAGACCCACTGTGAGAGGGTGTGCTTTCTGGCGCACTCCCTCTGAACTGACCCCTGCTGTGCCTACCTCAAGGTTTTGACGCGCACTGCCATCTGGGGCATCTCAGGACACTGGTCCCGGGCTCAGTGGACCCACACTAGGGCTGTCTCTCTGCAGAGTGGGGGCGCAGGCTGGAGCACTCTCAGGCCTGTCTTGATTTCAGGCTCTGGGGAAGGGGGTGCACTGAGCACAGTCGAGTAGCACCGGGCTGGGAGAGTTCAGGCCGTTGTGCAGGCAGGTTTCTCTCAGGAGCTGGTTCTCTCCCTGCTGCGCTCTGGTCCTGAGCTTCCACTCACTGCCCGGAAACTTCACCCTCTCAGAATGAGAAACCCAAAAGTGTGTGCCTCAGAAACAACTCCCAGTCTGAAGGCTCCTCAGGACAAGCCCTAGAAGATGTGGAGCACAGCCTGCCACCACGACTCTCCTCAGTCTCTTAGCTGTCCCTGGGGCTTACCCATCTCCCAATAAAACCTGCTCCTCCACAGATGGCCTTGCCTCATGAATGTCGTGCACAGCCTCAAGGGGCAGATCAGAGTTCCCTCGGATGTGCTGTGCGAGCCCGGGACCTGCAGGGCAGCCATGGGAAGTGGCTCCTGGGTACTGGACTCCATGGGAAGGAAGAGCAGCTAGGCATGGTGGCACAGGCCTGTCACCCCAGCATTTGGGAGGCTAAGGCAGATGAGGCAGGAGGATCGCCGAGTTTGAAGTCAGCCTGAACTGGAGCAAGACCTGGCCTCAAAAACAACAGGTTAAGGGGCCGGGGAGATGGCTCAGTGGAATAAGTGCTTCCCTGGCAAGCACAAGGGCCTGAGTTCAATCCCTGGTTCTGGAAAAAAAAAACCAGGCTGAGTCCAGGTGCCTAGATGGGACCTGGGTTTAACCTTTAGTGACTCCATGGGAGATACTCGCTCCTGAGAAAACCAAGCCTCTAACAGCCTGCCAACCTCTAAGCTGTTCCTTCTGCTGTCACACTCCCAGTTCTCGACAGACCACTGCTTCATGAAGTGCGAGACACTTCTGGACACCATCAGCCCATCAGGCTACACACCTGGCTTTTCACTGGGGCTTCCGTTTTGTTTTTTGGTACTGGGAATTGAACTCAGGACCTTGCGCTTGCCAGGCATGCACCATGTCACTGAGCTATTGCCCCAGCCAAGGGCCTTCCATTTAGAGTACTGTTGGCCCAGCTCTGACGGAACTAGGTCAACCTTTCAAAAAAATGAGGCTGCTTTGGCTTACTAGAACGGAAGCTTTGACACACCAAGGCTGAGATCTGACAGGTAATTCTGAATTTTTTTTTTTTTTAATTTTAGGGAATAGTCTACAGGGTGTTCATGGTCTATTAGGTCGGTTTTGCAGTGATCTGTCTGTTTACAGTCTCCCAAGAGCTGGGATTACAGGTGCATGCCATCACGCCCAGTCTCAATTGCTATCTCTGCGCCCTAGGGTCAGGGCTGGCAAGGCAGGCTGGGGGATCAAACCCCTGGCCTCTGCACCGGCTTGCAGGTGCCTTAATCCGCTGAGTTATTTGGCTCACCTGTTTTTTCCTAAAATCCTTTTCATGAGTCCATTGTTCCCCCTTTCCTTTTTACAAGCTGTAGTGCTACACTTTATGACCTATTTCCTTTGCCACAGTATAGTTTTTTTTTTTTTTTGGCGGAACTGGGGATTGAACTCAGGCCCTTGCACTTGCCAGGGAAGCACTTATTTCACTGAGCCATCTCCTGGCCCTGCACAGTTTCATTTTAAGGCAATCAACAGATAAGGGTTCCATGTGGAAATGCAGGGTACACCTCAAGCTGGACTCCGTTATCATACCTGTCCCTGCCATCAGTCTACAGGAGCTTCCAACACCGTCTGCTGACCCTCACAGACCCATGCTCAGGGGAGTCACCTTCCTTTACCCATCGTGACTGGAGCACTGGCACATACAGGATCAGACCCAAAGGACATCTTGGGATGTCTCACTTCCCCAATTCATCCCAGAGGTAAGGTGAGCCCCCACAAAAGCACATCCGCCTGCTGCAATCTGAGGGGACCTGGCAAAACGCCACTTTTCCTGAAGAGTTTGTTCTGCCAGGCTCATGGGCCCCGTGAAGAACCCTGTGCCACCGTAAAGCTTGCTCAGCCGGCAAGGGGGCTCTGCCTCCTGCAGTACAGTGGCCCAGGGGACAGCCAGGACGCTATGTGGCTTTCAGAGCTAACAACACTCCTGTAGCGGCGGTGGCAGGCACTCATACCTGTTATCAAAAGGAGCACAAGATGCAGGACCCCCGTGTGAGAATATTTGCCCTTTAATTTTCACTCAAAGTCAGTTTCTTTAAATATTTCTGTTACCAGCCTTGCACGGTGAGGACAGAGCAGTGACGCGGCAGGCACACAGCACCGGCCCCTCCCCTCCCGCCCTTGCCTGGGCTCCCAGTGGCACAGGCCGGTGCAGCAGCCACAGGCCTGGCGTAGCACATACAAAGCCATGAAGCCCAGCAGCTTTCACAAGACACTTGTATTTAACCATGCTCTAAGGAATTTCAATGACTGCACGGACCCACTTTACCACAGGCACCGACACCCCAGGCCAGGGCCCGCCACATCCCACCCTCCCAACCTGTGTCCTGCACGGGAAGTCACAACATGAGGGAGAGCGGCATCTCGGTCCAGGTGATCAGAGCTGGCCGGAGGATGCCTCCCATCCCAAGTGCTGTCCTACTGCCCTAGGTGCTAACATCTAGGTGCCAGCGTCCACTCTCAGCAGAAGGATGCACTAGGGTGGCTGCCGGCAGCCTGTGAGGGTCAGCAAGACCACGGTTGCGTGTGAGTACACCAAGGTGAGGTTTCCTGGTGGGAGTGTGTGGCCAGACCTGGGTTCCACTCCCTTCTCTGACTGTGGTGACTTCATGGGGACTCTGCCCCACCCCCCGCCAGCATAGCCCCCACCCGCATTCCCCTGGCCTGTGCTTCCTGGAAGAGGTAGAAGAGGCATCTTGAAGTCAGTGACAACTGGAGATGACGCTGCCATTCAAGAAGCAAAGCAGCAGCTCTTTGCCTGCATTCAATACCTCCACACAGGTGGCATCTGGTGAGCATGTACACAGCCAGGAAAGATGGAAACTGTCACATGGTCCCCAGTGGTTTCACTATGGTACATGGTAGTGGGGAGAGGCAAAATCATCTTTGCGGAGGGCTAACAAAAGAAAAGCGAGAATATTAATGAGCATCCGCTACAGTTCTCTCTCAAGCCTAAGCGAGAAGGTATCTGAAGGCAAGAGAAGGGCGTGAGAGTCTGGCTGCGATAACAAAAGATCTGTGATGCTGGTTACACAGTGCCCTGGCTTCCTTGCCTGCGGCCAATAGGAGGTGCCTGCCTGGGACCCGTGGGGGACAGGGAGAAGTCTGGCTTTCAGTTCCTGCACGATTGATTCGTAGGGCGTGTGGCCTCCTCCTAAATGTCCAGGAGGAGGACTCTGGGATCCTCTACTGCTGCCTTGATTTTTCGGAGGAAAGTCACAGCCTCTCTGCCATCAATGAGCCGGTGGTCGTAGGTCAGTGCCACGAACATCATAGGCCGCACCTCCACCTGCGGAGGAGAGGGAGATGAGGCTACGCATGGGGCAGCTCCTGCTGCCAAAGCCTTTCCTACTAATGTCACTTCTGGACACTTGGGACAATTCAAAGACCAACCTTTACCCCAGGTGCAAAGTTCCCCTACTCAGAAAAGAAGTTTAAACAAGAAACAACTTTGCCTTCCAACTACTCCATAATCTGCAAAAAAGGTTTTCTCTTCAGTTTCAGCTGCCTGCAGTAGGTGCATTCCAGTTACAACTTAATCACTTTTAAAGAGCCGAGAATCACACCCCGCCTTGTGCATGCTAGACCAGCACTCTACCACTGAGGCACATCTCCACCCTAGAGGTAAATTTTAAAAAATAATTTGTAGGTCCCACAAATCTGACACTCTATGCAAAGGTGGGTGTAAGGCCCCTTTCAAGGGACATGGGAATGGGGATTTGGCTCAGCGGTAGAATGCTTGCTTAGCAAGGTGGAAGCCCTGCATTCTACAACAAAAACAAACAAAAAAAATTCAATCAAGGGACAAGATCTAAAGTTTTTGCATTCACAAAGAGTTAATGATCCAAAATGCTTCTAAACATGTCTCAGAAAGCTTTTTTTCTACTAATCTTTTTTTTTTTTTTTTTTTTTTTTACAGTCTTAGTTTAAGTCTTGAACTCATTCTGTAGCCCACGCTGGTCCTGACCTTATGGTGATCCCCCTGCCTCAGCCTCTTGAGTGCTGCGATTATAGGTGTGCACCACCACACCTATCATTTAGGAACTAGCTCAAGCCCCTTTGACCTCATTTCTTGACTGCCAGAAAACTTCTATGCTGATCACACAACTGCGCAGCGCATCAACTGCTGCGCTTTCCCCTCCCACTGCCCAGGAGCGAGGGAGCTCTCTACCTCTCCCTCAGTCCGCAGCGCGAATGCAGCATACTGATGCTCCCAAGGAAAGTGTCACTTCAGCTGCAAGGTTCTCAAGCTTCTCAGGCACAGCAGAACTGTCTGCATGTCTGCTTCTGAGGCTTTGGGAAACGGTCTGAGAATCTGCATCTCTAACAAGTTCCACTGGTTCAGAGATAACAATTTTAGAATCAGCATCTGAGTTATTAATTAGAAACTGAAGGGCTGGCGAGATAGCTCAGCTGATCAAAGCACCTGCTTAGGCAGAGGCAAGGGCCAAAGGACCCCTCCCCCGGCCCCACCCCAGGGGCATGATGAGACTGCAACTGAGACTGGGCATGCTGGCACATGCCTGTAATTCCAGCGCTTGGGAGGCTGGAAAACAGGAAGGATCACAAGTCCGATCTGTGTAGTGAGACCCTGGCAACCCTGTACTAAATACATTTAAAAAAAAAAAAGAAACTAAGAGATGCAACTTAGGCTTAAAATTATACTGCTTTATAATAAGCATTTCAATTACTTCTTACCAGCAGGTAGCTAATAAGACCTTAGAAGTGAGGGTTCCTACCTTGCCACCCACAGCCACTGGCCTGTCAAAAATGGCGTGCATGCCAAGGATGGCAGACTGAGGAGGGTTGATGATGGGTGTTCCGAAGAGCGAGCCAAACACGCCCCCGTTGCTAATAGTGAAGGTACCACCATCCATATCTTCAATAGCAAGTTCATTCTTTCGGGCCTAACAACACAAAATTCAGAATTGAAACAGTAGGCCAACCCAAGTTCTTTCACCCAAAGAAAGTCAATCTTTGAAAGCTGTATCTGATATATACTGACAACTCTGGCTTCCACATGACAGACATTCAGCTGAGTAGACTAACTGGTGCTGCACTGGAGAAGAGGCATGACTTCAGCCCACCCTGTTTCCCCCAGCAAGTCTCTGGGAAGCTCTCAGTCACACAAGGATAGCAGGCTATGCTGGATACGTGTACATAGCTCTTAAGGGCTGCCACCTTTCTTGGCAACTAGAAACTTCTTAGGAAACAAGTGGGAGTAAAGCTCCCAGCTGGTGAACACAGCCTTCTGCAGGCTCTCTGTTCTGCCCAGAGCTCAAACACATCCTTCTTCCAACTTTACCTTTTCTCCCAGTTCACTGATGGTTCGTTCAATATCTGCATAATTCATAGTTTCCACATTCCTGATGACAGGAACCACCAGACCCTAAAGAAAGAGAATTCTTTAGTTGCAAGTTAATGGTATCCTTTATAGTTAAACTTCCTTGATTCAAGCTAATGTTCTCCCTTACTCAGAACACCTCTATTACTCACTGCAATTAAAAGTAAGCCTTGGGGCCGGGGAGATGGCTCAGTGGAATAAGTGCTTCCCTGGCAAGCACAAGGGCCTGAGTTCAATCAAAAAAAAAAAAAAAGTAAGCCTAAGGTATTTAGGCTTGACGTTAAGAATGTAGCATGGTTTAAAAAAAAACAAATAAACAACAACAAAAAAAACCCCACAATTATAAACTACCTCTTAAAAATATAGAATTATAGGGTGGGGGATATTGCTCAGTAGAATAAGCATTTGCTTGGCAAGTGCAGGGTCTTGAGTTCAATCCTCTGTACCACAAAAAAAAAAAAAAAAATTGATCTCTCCCTCCCACAGGACCTGCTGCTCCACAGCTACACTTAGGACCCTAATGAGCACATCTGCCTCCTGCCCGACATACCCGAGGAGTGGCCACCGCAACGCTGATGTCAATGTAGTCCCGATACACGATCTCTCTGGTTGCATCATCAATCACTACAAGAGAAAACATGCATCACACACACTGCCCCAAGCAAGGGCTACTGAACTAACATTTATTTGCACTGACAGTAAGAACCTGCAGTATGGCCGGCTGACCCCAGCCCTAACCCTAACACACTCAGCCAACAAGAACATCTCCCAAGCCCCTTGCTGGCCCCAGAGCGTGGCAGCAATGTCCATTTCTGGCAGCCCGCAGAAGGGCTCGCAAACTGGCCCCCAGAGTATGAATGCACTGCGTTCTGGCCAACTATCCCTACTCGTGTCCTCCCCTAGCAGAGAACGTGCTCCCCAAGGACAAACCAGCAAAGGAGACAGGCTTAGAGATGCCACCCACTCTTGCTTCCCACTCTCAACAACAGGAAAGGGGAGCCTCTCACCAAGAAATCAGGAGGAGCCTGGGCAGTACCACCTTTAACTATGTCAGTGTGAGACAGTAAGCCAGAAGCTGACCATTTTTATCTAGCATTCATGAGAAAATAAAGCTTGAAACTCCTTCCCACAGAAAGAGTCTATGTTTAGTATTAGACAAGGCACCAAGGAAAGCATATAAAATGAACAGAGGCCAAGAGAACTTCGACAGACACCAGCCACAAGTGTGTGCAGGCAAAAGAAAGGAGGCTCAGGGAAAAGACAAAGGAAAACCAGTCAAGAAGACGTGAGAACGTGAGAAACAAAATGAACACAACGGGCAAAGCTGAGGAAACCAGAGGAAACCCTTCTACCAAGTAGAGCACAGTACTCTGAGGAAAGGCTTGGGCCCACATTTCTAGATCTCTTGCTGAGGACTGCAGAAGTGTCACTGACCCCTCCTCCCTAGCTTTCCAGAGAACACAGACATGTCTCAACACAGAAATAAAAGGTTGTGAGGTTAGCATGTCAGTGATGTGGGTGGTTAAAAACAAACAAACAAACAAAAAACTAGTACCAAGTCTGTAAGAGTCCAAGCCCAAGACTTCCCAAAGAGGCTCACCTCAAAGGGATCAGAGCTCAACCTGCAGCCTATGTCAGGTATGGAATCAGACCCCAAGGTAACAGGACCCATCAGAGGGTGGGCAGGGAGCTTGGGACAGCAGGCCATAAGCTCCTATCCCAGCATGAGGCAGTCTGGAGAAACAGCTAAAACACCTGCCATACTGTTAACTGGAAAGAGAAAACTGCTCTGCTCAGATTGTGGGAAGGCAGTAACCATAATGGCATTTCAGGAAGGTAAATCAGTGACTCCCTGGGGAAACTGGCCCTATTGCCAGTCAGGAAATGGCAAGGCGCAGTGTACTAACCCTAGTGTCAGAACAGTCTGTGTTCGCATGCCTATCTCCCAAGACAACAGCCACCCTGGCCACAGGAACCTCACCTGCATTTACAACCGGCTGCTCCTGCAAGGCAAAGGCCGAGGCCTTCACAAACGCAGACATGAAGCCCAGTTTGAGGTTATGTTTTTTTAGGAAAGCGTCCTTGTGCCGAGCTCTCATTTCCTGGATGTTACTGTGAAAATATGTTACACAAAAGAAGGTGACCACAAAAGCAGTTTTGATTCTTTTACCTTTTTGTGAGTTTCTACCCATTTATACACCTAGTGAGCTTTGCCCTATTCTGGACCATCTACCAAAGCTCAAACTTTGAAATATGTCAATAAAGATCAAGTCAACACAGCAACCTTGTTCTTTCACAAAAACTGAACATAAAAAAAGTTAGGGACAAACTGGATGGACTGGTACACAACTGCAGTCCCACCACTCTGGCAGGCTGAAGCAGGAGGACTGCAGATCTGAGACCAGCCTAGGCAGCTAGGCAAATCAGCATGACCTCGGCTGAAAAAATTTTTTAGAAGGGGAAGAATCATGGGGCTGGAGAGATGGCTCAGTGGTCTAAAGCACCTACTTAAAACAAGCTTGGCAGAGCATCAGGGACTGCGGTTCAATCCCCCAGCACCACATGCCAGCCAGCCCCGCCCCCTGGTGGGCTGAGCTGGCCACACACACACCTCTCTCTAATGTAAAATAAATAAAAATATTAAAAAAAAAAAAAAAGAAGTCATAGATTTCAATAATAAAATAAAGGCGCAAAGGAGTGATCACAATAGTATACCAGCATCCTTGCCCTGGATGAGGGGGTGAGAAAGCATTTCAGGCTGGGGTGAAACCATGAGCTGTCCAGTTAATGCTTAGAGTTTTTATTCTGACTAACTTTATATGCTAATATCTATAATCTCAGCAACAACACTAAGGACAGCAATGTACAATATAACAACCATGGTTAAATGTCTTTCACCTTGTTTTATTTTTATTTTTTATTTTTTGGTGGAACCGGCGATTGAACTTAGGCCCTTGTGCTTACCAGGCAAGCGCTTATTCTACTGAGCCATCTCCCCGGCCCCTTTACCTTGCTTTAGAGAAAGGCATTTAACCATGCCTTATTTATTATTGTGGGAAGGCAGTAACCATAGTGGCATTTCAGGAAGTGACTTCCCCAGTGACTCCCTGGGGAAACTGGCCCTACTTCCACAGTTAGGAAATGGAAAGGCGCAGTGTACTAACCCTAAAGTGTCAGAACAGTCTGTGTTCGCACAGACTGTAGTGTCTTATTATTATAGTCTCTTTAAATAAAAAGTGAAAAGGACAAGGAAAAAAAATAAGGTTTATTGAAAGGAAGAGTTACTGTTTAATTTTTTGATCAATCTTGTATACCTGTATCTAACAATGTGAGTAACAAATGTGATAACAATACATAACAACTATTAATTTTCTATAGTTGTTTGGAAATTTTGTATCATTTGTATTGTTTTATACTGCTTTGTTTCTGTCTTTGTTCTTGTTGTTTTTGTTTTCCTTCTTTAAAAAAATGATAGGGCCGGCCAAATAGCTCAGCAGATTAAAGGGCCTGCAAGGGCTAGGGAGATGGCTCAGTAGATTAAGTACTTCCCTGGCAAGTGGAAGGGGCTGAGTTCAATCACCGGTTCCGCCAAAATAAATAAATTAATTAATTTAAAGTGCCTGCAAGCAGGGGCCAGGATTTGATTCCCAGGCCTTCCATGCCAGCCCCACCCCTGGGGCATGCTGAGATGGCAATTGAGACTGGGCGTGGTGAGGCACACCTGTAATCCCAGCACTTGGGAGGCTGTAAACAGGAGAATCACTATGAGTCTGGTCTAGTAATGAGACCCCGAACACCTTTTAGATCCTTTTCATATAGATCCTTCTCATATAATACAGAAAAACAATAAAGAAAAGAAAAATTAAAAAAAAAAAATAGGGCTGGTGAGATGGCTCAGTGGTCTAAAGCACCTACTTAGAACATGCTTAACAAAGCACAGGGACCACGGTTCAATCCCCCAGCACCACATGCCAGC